ATTCCTCTTGGGTTGTTCGCTTATTGTCACATTGAAAATTGCCATCGTAGCACTTCCCCACATCTCTATTATCGTTGATCAAATTTCAGTCCAGAGATCATCAAAAAGAAGGACGCAATCACAACAGCCACTGATATTTGGAGTTACGCGGTTGTTCTATGGGAAATGCTTACGCGAGAGGTGTGTTTGTTCACAATTAGACGTGGTGGTATCATTCTCGATATGATTGCATCATCTGATTGTGCATTAGTGTGTTTGTTGCAGATACCCTACGATGGTCTGGCTGAGTACTGCATAGTTCGTGAGGTGACTAAGAACGGTGGAACTTTGGTAGTACCTGAACACTGCCCGTTGGCTTTTAAACGGTACGATTTCACTGATTACTTTTTTTGGATTTTGTTTTTATCAGTTCATGTGACGAATTTTGTTGTGAAACGATTGAGAATTTGGTTGATGTGTCGTCACCGGTTGCAATTCTATGGACATCGATCATAGGAATGAATTTATCGGAATAAATCGGAATAAATTTCAGTTTGTTTACAAATTGTTGGAAGATAGACGCACGAGAACGATACGACATTCGTCNGGCATTAATCTATCAGCGTTTCTACCGTTTCAGACTGGGCTAATACAGGTAGAGGTGTAATTTAAAGAAGCGTGTGATTCTGATAAGTGCTACTCTATTAAGCATTTGGGCGCAGAAAATGCATCATGCGGAGAAATTGGAAGAATTGATTCACTAAAAAAAAATCTCTGGATGAAGGGAAATAAATGTTTTCTCGTCGCCAAATCCCATTTTGAGTGGAATACACTGCGGGATTGCCGTATCAATTAGTGTAGTGTGCAGGTCGGGCAATTTCGTGCGTGCACACGTCGTGCCCTTGCCGTGTCTCCGAGCTCCTCTTCAAGAGCTGATCGTCGTAATTTTCCGAGTCACGACAACGAAACAACCAGTTGAGAGCACCAAACATTCACCATTAATATCTTGTCATTGCAGCCGCAATACTCAAAGCTCGTTGGAAAAATCGATGAATTTCTTCGTTGCGATGCTGTGCGAAACATTTCGCAGAAAAGCGAACAACCCAGGTGGCGTATTTATATCGGATAACATATCTGGGCCAGCATTTACAGTCATCTCGGCTGGCTGCCACTTCTAGTTTATCTGGATTGGCATTTATAGTAATGTTGCCGAAAGTGGCTCGTTGAACTGACTGACTTTCGTATGTGCCATT